TTATTTGACACAGAGAGAGAGATTACAAGTACGCAGAGAGGCAGGCAGAGAGAAAGGGGGAAGCAGGCTCCTGGCAGAGCAGAGAGCCCAACGCAAGACTTGATCCCAGGACCCTGAGATCATGACCTGAGCCGAAGGCAGAGGCTTTAACCCACCGAGCCACCCAGATGCCCCCAAGAGTTTTTGCTTTAACGTCTCAATGAAAAGTTTTACATGGAAATCATTTCTTCAAGGTTTTGTTTTGTTTTTTTTTTTCATTGTAATGTAGTCTAGTAATGTGAAAATTCTGGTACTCCAAGCATTAACACACCTTGGCTCCCTCAAAATGCTCACATTCTCTTAGCTTTCCCTTCCAAAGAAGGAGGATATTGGGGGGTTGGGGGAGGCAGAGGCAACCACAATATAATCTGCAGACCTAAATATAGACTGCAGCTTACACAGGAGGGCCCAGAGGAAGTGGAGATAAAATTTTCCACTGGATGACCTCATTTGCCTAAAACACCCAGGCGTCCTTAGAGAAGTACGGCCCTTCTTACAGATCTTACAGAAGTACGGCCCTTCTGTATTCTGGGCCAGCAGCCTGCAGAAGGGTGGTATGGGCTGGCCCACGTTCATGGAGGAGGAGGGTCTGAGCAGGAGAAATCATTCCCTCCAGACCTGCGGAAGCATCTGGGACCCATGAGCTGAGAACAGCGGGAGGCGCCTGGGCTGGGCCTCAGTCACACTGCTCCTAAGTGCCCTCCCTGCAGCTTCGCCACAAGAAAGGGCACACCCCAGTCAGAAAGGACTGGCTTTCATATCTTGAATCCTAAAGACACAGAGCTGCTATCGGGGAATATCTAGGTGGGTATGAGACCGGAAGCCCTAGTGGTGCCACCTGAGCCCTTCCTCTGAGCTTGTTTCAAACCGCAGACATCCTCTGTCAAGGAAGAATCCACAAGTCATCTGGGAGCCCTGGGTGAGTGAGCTCGAGGCAGCAAAGCAATGAGGATTGTTGCTAAAGGGCACTTTTTTGGAGCCGGTTTGAGTTGGCCTGTGAGATTTGCCTCCTAATTACGGCTGCTCTGGGTAGGGAAAGGGAAGGGACTAGGTAACAAATACATAAGGAAGCAAGCTAACAGAAAGGAAGGCTGCCTTCAGAAGCCACCCACCTTGTCAAAGACAGCCCTGCTTGGGCAGCCTCTGCGTGACTTGGAGGGTTTTGGATCTCTGAACCCTCTCACTTCCTCCCAACATGAAGCCCTCACATCCAGAACACCCGTCCCACCTTTGTCCATGTACCTTTGGTTCAACCAATCAAACAGCTGGATTTTTTTTAAAGGAAACTTTTTTAAGGAAATATTTTGGAGTATAATAAGACCTAGCTATCCTTTGCCCAGATTCAATAATTATTAACCCATGGCCAATCTTGTTTCACCTGCACTCCCATCATTTCCTCCTTCCCCACCAATAATTTGAAGCAAATCCAAACATTACACAGATTCACCTATAAAGAGTTCAGCATATACATATATATAATAATATATTTATATACAATTGTAATTTATATATACATATATAAAAATAAGGTATTTTATTTTTTTAATTTATTTTTTATTTTTTTTTAAAGATTTTATTTATTCATTTGACAGAGATCACAAGCAGAGAGGCAGGCAGAGAGAGGGGACACAGGCTCCCTGCTGAGCAGAGAGCCCAATGTGAGGCTCGATCCCAGGACTCTAGGATCATGATCCGAGCCAAAGGCAGAGGCCTTAACCCACTTAAACCACTTAACACTTAACCCACTTAAGCCACCCAGGCACCCCAAAAAATAAGGTCTTTTTAAAACCATTGTCACTATACCATGCTCAACCTGAAAAAGCTAATGTTTAACTTTTTCTGATTATCGCATACATTTTTTTGTGTACTTGAATCAGGATCCAAATACAGTTCTTATACTTTTGACTAACTGTCATGTCTCAAGACAAAGAGCTGAACCATGAAACTATGATATCCAAATTTAGGGCAGGTAGCAGAGTGGCATTTGGCATTCTTAACTGGTGCCAATCATTAAACCCAAGCATTCATTCATTGATTCATTCAACAGATATTTATGAAGAACCTCTGTGCACCAGGCCTGTGTGCTACACTGGGGTATAATGATGGCTGTGATTATTACTAGAGCCTATATTATAGAGAGAGTATGGTGAAGAAAGCAGACTTTGGCTAAATGATCACACAAGTGAATGTGGCATTTAAAAGATTGAAAAGTGCTATGAAGAAAGGTGCTACAGGCTTCAGTAACATGGAGTTTACATAACTCTGCAAAACAAAATTAGGGTCAACAGGTTGAAATGTTGGGGAATCAAATGTGGGCATAGTAGAGGGAAAAACTAAAAAAATAACCAAGCATAAAAAGAAGAAGGAATATATGATCCATAACCAAGAGAAACACCAAGCACCAGAAACAGATCCAGAAATGAAACAAGTGATAAAGTTAGTAGACAGGATATTAAAATAGCTACCATTGCATATGTCCAAGAAAGTAAAGGAAAGTGTGATCATGATAAGGATAGACATGGAAAATATTTTATAAGACCCAACTGAACTTCTAGAGATGCAAAATAAATCTGAGTGGGCTTACACAGAAGAAAAAATTAATGAACTTGAAGATATAACAGTAAAAACAGTATTAGTGCTCTGTGACATAACATCAAACATACGTGTAACTAAAATTCAAGAAGAGAAGAAAGAGGGACAAAAGTCTGAAGAAATAATGGTTAAGAGTTTTCCGAATTTGGGGCACCTGGGTGGCTCAGTTATTAAGCATCTGCCTTTGGCTCAGGTCATGATCCCAGGGTCCTGGGATCAAGCTTTGCCTCAGGTTCCCTGCTCGGTGGGAAGTCTGCTTCTCCCTCTTCCACCCACCCTACTTGTGTTCCCTCTCTTGCGGTCTCTCTCAAATAAATAAATAAATAATCTTTAAAAAAAATTTTTTAAAGATTTTTTCCAATTTAATGACAATTATAAACCCACAAATACAAGAAGACAAATAAAAATGAACCCCAAGAGTAAGAAACATGAAGAAAACTACATCCAGCCATACCATAATCACAATACTTAAAACCAGCAATACAGAAAAAATCTTAAAAGCAGCCGGGGCGGGGGGACAGTGGGGGGATACATTCCATACAGAACAATGATAATAAGAATGACAACAGACTTTTCATCATAAGCAATGCAAGTGAGAAGATAGTGGAGTGACATCTTTGTTAGGAAAAAAACTACTAGCCTAGATTTCTATACATAGAGAAAATATCTTTCAAAAAAAAAACAAAAACAAAAACAAAATAGGGACCTTTTAAGACATATGACAGCCAAAAGAAGTCACCACCAGCAAGCCACCAGGATAATGAAGTCTTCAATAGGTTTTTCAGGCAGCATTAAAATTATATCAAAAGAAAATTTTAATATACAGAAAGGAAGAACCCCAGAAATAGCAAATATGTGAGTAAATATAAGTCTTGTTTTATTATTATTTAAGTCTCCTTAAAAGGTAATTGATAGTTTAAAGCAAAACTGATACATGCACGCTGTGGTTCCTAGTATATGCAGAAGTAAAATGTATGACAGCAAAAGCACCAAGACCAGGAGCAGGGAAATGGAAGGCTAGTGGTATAAGGTTCTTTCAGCATAAGTGAAGTGGTATATTATTTCTTGAAGGTAAACTGTGATAAGTTAAATGTCTACATTTTAAATCCTAAAGCAACCACTAAAAGAACAAAAAGGTTTAGCTAATAAGCAAATAAATGTGATAAAATGAAATCGTAAAATGAATACTTATTTCATACAAAAGCAAAAGGGGGGGAGGAACAAAAAATAGATGGCACAAATAGAAAAACAGTCGCAAAATGGTATTTTTAAATCTAACACATCAATAGGCACCCCAATTAAAAGGCAGAGATTGTCAGATTGGATAAGAAAGCAAGGCACAACTATATGCTCTCTACGGGGAATCCACTTTAAATATAAAGAACAATTTAGGTTAAAAGTAAAAGCACAGAAAAAGATACACTAAAACTAAACAAAAGAATGCAGGAGTTGCTATAAAATACCAGACAAATTTTAGAGCAGGAATATTACCAGGGGTAAGGGTCATTTCATAATAATAAAGGAGCAAATTCATAATCATCAGTATTGGTACAGCTAACGACAGAGCTTCAAAATACATAAAGCATACTGCCATTATTCACAGGCAACATAATTGAGTATATAGAACCCCCAAAAAGATGTAGAGAAGAACTATTAGTACAAATAAGTAATTTACCAAAGTCACTGGATACACAGTCAATATCTGATCTCTTCCATTTTAGCCATTCTGGTGGGGGTATAATAGTATCACACTGTGGTTTTAATTTATATTTCTAGGATGACATTTTTTTTAAAAGATTTTAGTTATTTATTTGACAGACAGAGATCACAAGTAGGCAGAGAGGCAGGCAGAGAGAGAGGAAGAAGCAGGCTCCCCACAGAGCAGAGAGCCCGATGCAGGGCTCGATCCCAGGACCCCAGGATCATGACCCGAGCCAAAGGCAGAGGCTTTAACCCACTGAGCCACCCAGGTGCCCCTAGGATGACATTTTTTAAAAAGATTTATTTATTTATTTGAGAGAGAGAGAGAGAGAGAGAGTGGGGGCTGCAGAGAGAGGGAGACAAGCTGGGCAGTAAGCCCAATGCGAGGCTCAACCCCATGACCCTGAGACCATGACTTGAGCCAAGATCAAGAGTCAGACACTTAACCGACTGAGCCACCCAGGCACCTCTCCAGAATGACATTTTAATATACTTACTGACTACTGAGAAATTTTCTTTAGTAAATGTATAATTCTTTCGCCTATTTTTCTATTGGGTTGTCTGTCTTTTTCCTGTATTGATTTGTAGGAGTTCCTTCTGTATTCTGTATATGACTCCTTTGACAGCTTACTTATGACAAATATTTTCTTCCACTCTCTGTGGCTTACCTGTTCACTTTCGTTCCAGTTGTACATTTACTACCTTCGTGATTGCTTTGCTCTGCTTGGTGATTCTGGAACTGGACTCTAAAGATGATATTTCTCCTGTGCCAGCTGGCTTGATGATGTGTTTTGTCAGCAGAAGATACTGGAGGCTCACTGCAAGGATGGAAGAGGAAGAGTTACTTATTTTCTTCTGTTGTTATATTTTTGCATGGAACACCAAACGGAGCAGTGTACAAAGGTCCGGGCTTGTTTACCACGGTGGTGAATATTTTCCAGCCATTCCCTTTGTTCCTGCAGTAGCTGACAGAGTATTCTTGAAGCAGCCATGACCCTCTTCAGAGATCTGAATCTTAGCCTTATGGGGTGGGGGGGTGCTCTCCTCCTAAGCTTCCCCCCCCCCGAGATTTTATTTATTTATTTGACAGAGAGAAAGAGAACACAAGTAGGCAGAGAGGCAGGCAGAGAGAGAGGGGGGAAGCAGGCTCCCCGCTGAGCAGAGAGCCCAACACAGGGCTTGATCCCAGGACCCTGGGATCATGACCTGAGCAGAAGGCAGAGGCTTAACCCACTGAGCCACCCAGGCGGCCCTAAGCTTTTTTTTTTTTTTTAAGATTTATTTATTTATTTGAGAGAGAGAGAAGAAAGCACGTGAGTGGGGGGCAGAGGGAGAGGGAGGGAAGACGGCACCCCACTGAGCAAGGAGGCTAATGCAGGGCTTGAATTCACGACTTGGATCTCAAGACCTGAGCTGAGATCAAGAGTTAGATGCTTAATGGACTGAGCTACCCAGGTGCTCCAAACATAAAATCTTAAAAACAAGAAAACTGGGGCACCTGGGTGGCTCAGTCAGTTAAGCGTCTTGACTCCTTGATTTCTGCTCAGGTCATGATCTCAGGGTCATGGGATCAAGCTATGTTTCGGGCTCTACACTCAGCAGGGAGTCTCCTTCTCTCTCTCTCCCTCTCCCTCTGCCCCTTCACACCCAACACATGCTCCCGCTCTCTCTCAAATAAATAAATAAATCTTTAAAAATAAAAAAGATTTTATTTTTAAATAATCTTTTCACCCAACACAGGGCTCAAACCCACAACCCTGAGATCAAGAGTTACATGCTCCACCAACTGAGCCAGCCAGGCACCCTGAAGTGTTTAGACTCCCTCCTTGTTCACTTTTCCCTCAACCCTGAGGTCATAGCTGCTTCCTGCACTTACGACCTTTATTATATCTTATTATATCTTAGCACTCTCCTTTACCCTTTTAGATCACCTTTTTCCTTTTCATTGTATTCTATTTCTTTATATTAAATATCTGCTCATGTTAATTGGTATCATTTTGGTCTCCTGACTGGATGCTGATTTACACTCTCTTGATAGTGGCATTTGGTGAATGAAAGTTCTTAATCCTAACATGCTTTGACAGCTTTGTTGAGAATCAGTTGGTTCCATATGCGCTGGTATAGTTCCGGGCTTTCTATTTTGTTCCATTGATCTATGTAGTTATCTTCACACCAGCACCACACTGTCTTGATTACTGTAGCTGTATAATAAGGTCTTGAAATCACATAGTTTAAGTTTTCCAACTTTGCTCTTTTCTATGCTGTTTTGGCTCACTAGGTCCTTTGAATTTTCATATAAATTTTAGAAACAGCTTGCCAATTTCTATAAAAATGCCCTCTGATATTTTATTATGAATTTTGTTAAATCTCTAGGTCAATCTGGTTTGAACTGACAACTTTTTTTTTTTTTTTTAAGTAGGCTCCACACCCAGTGTGGGGCTTGAACTCACAGCCCTGAGATCAAGAGCCACATGCTCCAGTGACTGAGCCAGCCAGGTGCACCAAACTGACATTTTAACACTATTGAATCTTCTGATCCATGAACATTGTGTTAGTCTGCTCAGGCTGCCATAACAAAATACCATCTACTGAGTGATTTAAACAACACAAATTTCTTTCTCACAGCTCTGGAACCTGGAAAGCCCAAGGTCAAGGTGCGGGCAAGGCAGGTTTCATTCTTTTTTAAATTTTTTAAAAAACTTTGTTTATTTACTTGAGAGAAAGAGAGCAAGAGCAGAGGAGAAGGGCAGAGGGTGAGGGAGAAGCAGACTCCCCACCGAGCAGGGAGCCCAAGGCAGGGCTCCATCCCAGGATCCTGGGACCATGACCTGAGCTGAAGGCAAATGTTTAACCGACTGAGCCCCCCAGGAGCCCCAGCATTGCATTTTAGGACATCTTTCAAAATGTTTTCCATGAACATTGTAATGTCCTTTTACAACCAAATAATCATGAACATTTTTATGTTATTATGTTATTATTATCTGACATTATTTTTAGTGGTCATGTAAAATTCCATTGTATGAATAACCACAATAAAATTAACTTCATATTACATTTACATTTATCTTTTTAATTTCAATCTCATAGCTATCCGTTCATTGGAATCCCTTTTCAACTTTTTTCCCCTTTGTTCGATTACATTTCCTCTCAGTTTAGGGTAATCCACGGATTTACTTGGACGAGCTCTCCATCAGCCTCTGAGATATAGACCTAAACATTTCGCGACACAGGCCCCGGGGGAGTCCTTGGGTCTGCTCCTGGAGCTGCTCCTCCAAGTAGGAGCCATTCGTTCCATGTTCTTCTGAAATGTTTGTTCAACCAACTCTGCACCCACTAAGTGTACATCCATCTTCCAACACCGTTCTAAATACGTGTGGGTAGCTAATTCCGTTCACTGATTTCTTGTTGAGGTTGAGCCCTTAGAGAGCCGTTTGTAGACATACTTGGCATCTTCAGTGGACTCCTTCGAAACTCCTCCTGGATCCTTTGGGATCCCACCCACTGCGTGTACTTCACTACTAACAGCTTGCACTGATGACTTTCAGAGGATTGACCTTGGGCACCAAAGCTGCTGCACTTGAATTTAACACTTTCCCCCTGGGCAGCCTATGCCAATGACTAAGCGACCTGAGGGCATAAATACCTGGTAGCTTTGACTCAGGGTAGCAAGCTCTCAAGTATAATCTGGACCCCGGAGCTCCCCGTGGGATCAGGCTGAGTCTGGGACCTGAAATCTCACCTTTGCTTGGTTTCTTCCCTTCCCGATCCTACTTCTGCCATTCCCCTGTAGTTGTCTTCTGACAGCCGTTCCTTTATAAACCCTTGCCACCTGAATCCTCGGCCCAGGCTCTTCTTTTGGTAGAACCTCATCTAAAGACAGCATCCAAAAAGCACTGTAGGCATCACTCAGAGGAGGCTCCTTCCCACCGTTACTCCCACTACCAACCCCCACCTTCCAGACCCAAAGAAATTGTTGTGCCAAACTTCAGAACAACTTGATATCTGAACATCTTTGCTCGCACTGTAGGGGCCTACTTAGCCAGAGCTAAGTTTAACCATCTCGGTTAAACAGCCATTTTGTTGTTTGTGCAGTAAAACTTAAACTGACCCTGCCCCCCACCCACCAGAGGAACTTGCTAAAAACCAAGTCTGGGAAACCAGTAAAATATGGTCAACCAGTCCCTGATAACAGAGCCCAAATACAAGGGCGGGTCAGGTCAGGTGGAGACATCCAATCAGTAAAACACACATACTATCTCCCTAACTGCCAAAGAATGTGGGCCCCGCATTTTGGGCGCCAAACTTGGGCGCCAAACTTGGGCGCCAATTCTGACCAAGGTGATAGGCTAGTTCAAATAGCTACTATAGGGTGAATTGTAATTCAATTGGCCACCCGTGTGGGACCTAGCATGACTATGCAACTTTCTCTGTGTGTTACAATCTCATTGGCTACCTGTGTGTGGCCAGGCCCAACCACATGGCCTTTGCTCTATAAAAGCTAGTCTGTGATGCTGGGAGGGCCTCCATAAGGGACAGCCAAGACCAGTAGGTCTGATTCTCGATGCTGGCATGAAATAAAGCTTTGCTTGACCTTCGGTTTGTATCAGTCTCGCTCCTTTGATCACGGACCCCATCAGCACTAAAAAAAAATAACAGGTGTTTTTATCCACCTTACAAAAGAATTCACAACAGGTTCCTAAATATAGGGAACTCCACTTGCGTGCTCACAATAAAATTACACAATCTTACCCCCAAAATTGACCCAAAGCAACTTCTCCAGACATAATGTATCCTATATAAAGCCATGCCCTGTAAAGCAGCCCCAAAGTGGAGACTTTGAACTCCCTCTCTGTGAAAGTGCTTTCGCCTGGGGCCCCCTGGTGAGTTTCTGAGTCCTTCCCTCAGCCCCCTCCTTCCGGCCCTGAAGGGAGTTGCCATGGTGACCGTGGGCCTTTGACCTCTGGAGTAGCTCAGGCTCTGAAGAAAGGCCTTCTGCCAGCGTGGCTAAGAAGCGGGGAGCTGAGATGCAAATGGCATTCCCCTTGGTCAACCACGCACATATTCAACTAGTTTAGCCTCCAAGATGTGAGGAAAGTACCCAGACAACTTCACAAGCCGGGGAGCTGACACCGGGCTCACCCTGCTACTGCAGAGAAGCAGCCTTAACAATACACCTCACCCTGAGCCCGATCCAGACAGTTGCCGCACGCAAAGAAAGGCCATCCTCGGGGAGGCGGGTTGGGGCTGAATGGCTCTAATTAATTTATTATTGGAGTTCACGGATACAAAAAGAGGGTCACTACCAATGTAAATGATGCTGTTTTTATCCCAGGATCTAAAGCCACTTAACCAAGGAAATGAAAGCTATCTCACGTTTGTTTAATTAGCTCATTTGAATAGAAGAGAGGCCAGGGAGGGACAAAAAAGGCCTGAACTCAGGAACTTGCCCACAGGAATCATTCATCCCCCCCCCTTGACAGGGAAGCCCTGCTGAACACCTTCCTCAGTACTTGTTTTTAAATATTATTAATATTTGCAATTATAAAAATAGTCTGTGCTCATTGTCACAAGGCAAACAATACAGAATTTATTTTAAGTTACTGTCTCCCCTCCAAGTCCAGTCAGTTGAGGTAATCAGTGTTAACATCCTGGAGCATATAACCTTCCATCACTTCCTTTGTGACCATTTCAACATATCTAACCATTCCCCATCATAGCCTCCCCCTCTGCCTCACCTTCTTTAAAGCTGTTCCTGCTTCTCAACATTGTATCATGCAAACTTCTCCACATCAACATCTATGGATCTAATTAACTCTTTAATACCTCCATAATCTTCTATAAATACTATAATTTATTCAACAGGCCCCTATTGATGGACAATTCTGATTATATCCAGCTTTTGCTGCTATAAATAGGGTCTGTCTTTTGTGTGTATATAGACATAACTTATTGTATATATACGAGATTGTATGTCTCATTACCTACATTGTATATAGCTTATATATATGTATATGGATGTTATTATTTCTATAAGATACATTCTCAAAGTTGGAATCAGACGATGTGTTCATTTTACTTCTAACAGTCACCTTGAGATTACTTTTTCAAAAAGGCTTAGCAATTCACATAGTCTCTGTTTACCCACGCACTTGACAACACTGGATGTTATCAATCTTTAATTTTCACCAATCTGATGAGTGAAACCGGTACTAATTATTGATTTCTTTTGCGTTTCCCTGACTACAAATAGAGTTGAGTGTCTTTTCATATGCTTGTCGGGCATTTGTATTCTTTCATCTGTAAAATGTTTATTCATATCATTTGTCTGGTTTTTTTTAAGTTTTGTCTTTTCCTTATAAGGTTATACACTCACAATATTATTTATGTCTGTCACAGGTATAATCATTGTTAGTTAGGGGGCTTAGTACAACTTGATCCATTTTGTCCCTTCCCTGTCGGTTTCACTTGCAAATGTAAGCACTCTCCGTTTTTTCCAAGTCAATGGTCGAAGGAGCTGGGCTGGGGGAAAGCACACCGACTACGGAAAAGAACAGAGAGGAGGTTCAAGTCACCAGAGCAGTGAGTTCGTGCTAGGAGGCGGGGAAAACCAAGTTGAAGAAAACTGAGCATCTATAATATTCTTATATCTGGCGGAGAGAGATGAGTAGCTTTTCCAGAATTCAATCGCCTTGTTCTGCTTTATTTTCTTTTAAGATTTTATTTTATTTATTTAAGAGAGAGAGACCACAAACAGGGAGAGCAGCAGAGGGAGAGGGAGAAGCAGACTCTTCTCTGAGGATCCCAGCATGGTGATCGATCCCAGGACCCTGGGATCGTGATCTGAGCTGAAGGCAGATGCTTAACCGACTAAGCTACCAGGTGCCCCTGCTTTTTTAAAAGATTTTATTTTTAAGTCATCTCTGCACCCAGCATGGGGCTTGAACTTTCAACCCTGAGATCAAGAGTCACATGCTCTACCAGCTGAGCCAGCCAGGCGCCCCTCTTTGTTGTGCTTTAAATGCTCCTCCTCCTCCTCTTGGAATAGAATCCTTCTCCCATATCCCTTTATCTAGCTCACTCTTACTCATTTCTCAAAACTCAGCTCAAATATCACCTCCTCTGTCAGCCTTCCTCCATCCACCCACTAGCTGACCTAGATGCCCCTCCTACGTATAGTACTATTCTAGCTCTCGTCACATCACCTCATAACCCCCTGGTCGGCTTGTCATTTCCTGTCCACTCTAGACTGATCGCCTTTAGAACAAGACTCCCTTTGGATCACCTGTCTATTCCCAGGGCCAGCACCTTTGTGAGTGCTTTGTTTGTTCAAAGAATAGCTTGTACAAATTTAGCAAATTTATATATATATAACACATGATCCCTGATATCACAGTAGTTACCATCTAGCTGAGACACAGTAACTCAGTAAAATGGAGTAGCAACTATACTTCAGTAGAAGAGTATGTAACTGAGAATAGAAATGGGATAGAAGCCCTGGATAAGAGGGTACAAGGGAAGAGTCATGGAGGACGTGGGACTTGTTCTGGATTGTGATGGGTGGGTGAGATTCGGATAAGGAGTAAGAAGAAACAAGGGCAGCCAGGCAGGGGCAGCAATGGACAAAGACTGGGACTGGGAAAGAGCACGTGGTGATTATGTGATAGCAGGGAGGCTCAAGTGACCAGAGCAGAGAGTGTGCTGGAGGAGGAGGAAACTTGCCTGGGATAGCGTGTGGCTTCCAGCAAGGACTTTCTGGATTACTACAAATGGGCATGTTGCCTCCCCAGATCTTGTTGGCTGATTATGGCACTCTGCCACATCCTCTAGAGATATGTTCACATGCCTCTGTCACTAAATTGTAAGCTCCTGGTCTGGAGTGGGTTTGCAAAATAATGCCCCACCACCACCACACACACACAAAGATGCCCATATCGTAATCTCCAGAACCTGTGAATATTCTGCATTATGTGGCATTATGTGGCAGAAGGGAATTAAGGTTGTTAGTCAGCTGACCTAAAACCAGATTATTCTGGATTGTCTGGGTGGGTCCAATATAATCACATGGGTCCTTAAAAATGGCACAGAGAGGCAGAAGAAGGGAGGCAGAGGGAGCTGTGACTCCTGGAGAGGGCCCGAGGGATACAGTGTGAGGATTCAGCTCACTTTCGGCTTTGAAGGTGGAGGAAGGAGCCAGCAAGCCAAGGTGCTCAGACAGGCTCCAAATGCTGGAAAAGGCAAGGAAGTAGATTCTCCCCAGAGCCTCCAGAGAGGAAAAGAGCCATGTAGGCATCTTGATGTTAGCCCGAGGAGACCTGTTACAGCCTTCCGACATACAGGACTGTAAGGTAATAAACACGTACTGTTGAAGCCGTGAAGTTGGACATGATTTGTTACAGCAGCAAGAGGAAACCAACAGGGGCGCCTGGGTGGTTCTGTCAGTTGAGCCACTGCCTTTGGCTCACATCATGATCCCGGGGTCCTGGGATCAAGTCCCGCATCAGGCTCCTTGCTCAGTGGGGAGCCTGATTTTCTCTCTGCCTCTGCCTGCCACTCTGCCTGCTTGTGCTCTCTCTCTGACAAATAAATAAATAAATAAAATCTTAAAAAAAAAAAAAAAAGGAAACTAACACAGGAGGGACCATGTCTGGGCTGAATTTGCATACACATGTAACCTAGCTCTGTTTCGGTGCTCCCTTAATGCAGTTGCATTAAGAATTCCTGACTCAACATCCCTCCCAGAAAACATGCAGCAAACTCTATCAATATCCGTGGGCTTAGAGCCACGTGCTCTAGGTCAGTTTGCTCTCAGCACAGATTTTGTTTTTGCTATTATAAAATAACACCAGAGCAAACATCTTTCTTCTGTTTTTGAAATGGTTTGCTTATCCTAAGCAGACTTCCTGGGTCGAAGATGAGGGACAGTGTTGATGGCTCTTGATCCATTTAGCCAACCTACTTTCCAGAGGGTTCAAGCTAATACACACCCTTACTTGTAACCAAGCACCATCCTCTACCACAACTGGGCCCAGCAGGGCCCTCATGCATGGCCTCTCCACTGCACATTAAAGCTTTTCCTGCTCTCATATCGACTGCGTAAGTCTGGGCCACTGAGCCTCACTGGGGCCCTCTCACACTGAGCAGAGATCCTGGACATTTTGCTGTGGTGGCCTTCCTGGTGGCAAGAGCAACTTCTCCACAGCCATGAGGAACATTCCTTAGGGATAATGCTGGTCCAGGAGGGAGCAACCTGACACATCCTTAGATTATTTTTAGTCAGCAATTACAATGGGATAATTTTTTTTTTTTTAAGAGTTGCAAGAACTGATCTGCTTATGTTCAGGAAGCTGGTAATTTTCCAGTGTCCCCAAAGAGGTAGCCTGGGAACTGGGGAGTGACTGGCCCCAGAGGGAGAAGCTGGTTGATTTAAAGCTCTGATTCTTTTTCCCTCTTTGCAGTCGAGTGGGTGGGGTGTTTTTGTTCACAATGACTCTTTTGTTTACTATGCTAATAAGAGCCTCCTGGAAGATTTTTGCACCTGCTTTGTGCTCACAGAACACGGAACTGTGAGCTTCACCTTCCTTTAAGGAATGACTGTCTTCCCACTTTAGGAGAAAAATCACACCAAAAAACTTTGCTTGCCTCGACTTTATCATTCACAGAAGTCTTACTGCACTTAGGGGAGGAGGATGTTGTTCAAGCATGGGGCAGCAACCAAGTAGGGATGGGTTCAACAGGACCTCCCAAAGCACTGGGAACTGGAGGCTCCTGGGAAAGCGGGCAGTTCCCGTCTCGCGCTCTTGGAGTGCGCAGGCAGTCTGGTGGCTCTTTTTGGCCTCTGTTCTTTCCCCCTGCCCAGCTTTTAGGAGGCCAGCAGAAGGTTCGACTGCCCCAGAGGATCCTCCTGGGGCTCTGTCAGGCCCAAACGTACCTTGGTTTTGCCTGCAGAGGCTTCATCTGGAGAATGGAAAAAGCCAGAGGTCTTCACTGTACTCCTGCTCCTCCTCAGGCCTTCCCTCATGACTGAGTCTCCGGTCCCCAGGGCCTCAGGCTCCCTCTCTGTGAAATGGCCAAACAATCTTGCTTCCCAGGGAGCGAGCACACGGTGTGCCTGGGGTCGGGGGAAGAGCAACAAATATTTATAAATCCCTCACTGAGGTGGCAGCTGAAACAGCTGACGGAGCAAAGCCCGACCTCAGTCAGGTCCTGGACCTCCACGGGGCCTGTTTCTTCCTGCCACCTCCCGCCCGCCCCCTGACAGAGCAGGGCTGACCTCCAGCCTCGTGGTGGGGCCCCAGGCAAATTCCCAGACCATGAATTTCCTTTGGCACTTTGAGGCTCCCCCAGGAGGATTCATGAGACCGCAGCAGGAAATGAGGAACATATTTTTAAATCAGAAGGGGAAGCAATGTCTTTGTGTCAGATAAGTGGCCTGGATCCAGGGCTGAGAGACTGGGGCGCATTTCTCTTCACAGACAGCAGGTGCTCTTCTGGATGTGGTTATGGCAACAAAATAAATGATGGATAATTGCTTTTGTGACAACTTGCCAATTAAATTAGACTCAGCAGAATAACATAATGACAATTTGTTATGCTCCGGTGGGCACTAACATACCAATCATAATTAAATGCTATGACTGAAATAGAATACCGCTCGACGCAGGAATATATAACCCCAATTCCCTCTCCGTGAAGCATTATAGGTTGAGGCTTGATTTTAATTTCGGAAAGATAATGGCATTAGTGCATATCCAAGTGGGCTTGTGGAGAGGCCTGTGGCGAGGGAGATGGGCCTGAGTGGGAAGACTAGGTCTGTGAGGAAATGCCCCCAGGGGCTGAACTCCAAGGTCAGGCAGAAGAGCCAAGGAGCCCCTTGAGGTGAAGACAGTGCTTCACGGGTTGTGGATGTGCCTGGTCCTGTCAGCCCAGCTGGGGAAGGAGAGGAGGAGGCCTTTGCTGACAGCTTCTGCAGTAACAGTGGCTGTGCTGTGGCAGCTCCGAGGCCTCCACACCGGAATGTTCCAGAAGCAGGCACATCCTTGAATGAGAAGCCCCAGTGCACACTTCATGACAAAAGTGCACTGAAGTCCTACTTTGTGCCAGGCAGGTTTCAGCATTCTTCATCCATAAGGCACTTTCTCCTCACATCCCTTAACTCAAGTGAGGAACCAGCCTTGGAGATGAGGGACCTACTCAAAGTCACAGTAAATTCAAACCCAGATCCTCTGTCTTTGAAGCCACTTTCCCTGTTTCCAGGATGTTCTTCCTGGCTAGATGGGGCAGTTATGTCAATAAACATGAGGGAAAGAAACAGCAGAGAGAAGCACAGAAGCAGGCCCAGTGGAGGTGAAATGTTTGCCCAGGTCTCACCACCTGTCTTCAAATACGTCACACTCCCAGCTCCCAGCGTAGAGAGCAGCTGACCCAATGAGGGCCAATCAGTCTCCCTCCGGGAACTTAGCAATTGAGCCACTGCAGTTCCATAAAATGGTAACAAATGTACTCATCTGTCTCAGTCTGTTTGAGCTGCTATAACAGAACACCATAGACTGGGCCCTTTCTAAACAACAGAAATTTACTTCTCACAAATCTGAGGTCTGGGAAGTCCAAGATCAAGGTGCCTCTAGATGCAGTGTCTGACGAGAATCACTTCCCTGTTCATAGACAGTTGTGTTCTCACTGTGGGTCTCTTTTATGAGGGCATTAATCCCACTCACAAGGGCTCCACCCTCATGGTCTAATCAATTCCCAGAGGCCCCCACTTCCAAATACCAGAACACCGGGAATTGGGGATTAGGATTTCAATAGACAAATGGGGGGTGGGGGGGAACAAACTTTCAGTCCATAACAACATTGATTTTAAAGGAGCTTCTCTTGGGGGGTGCCTGAGTGGCTCAGTCGGTTAAGCAACGGACTCTTGATCTCAGCTAGGCCTTGATCTCAGGGTCATGAGTTCAAGTCCTGCACTGAGCCTACTTTTAAAAAAAAAGAGAGCTTTTCTGTATTATAATATACATACTATACATGCAACAACACAAAAAGGGCTATAACTTAACTATCAAAAACTTGACCCAAACTGGATATTCTAATAATAATAAATATTATGTCCTCAAGTTTTAATATCTTTATTGATGCCAAGCCATTCCATAAGATTTGAAGTGGTTTTTAAAAAATCAAGTAACAGGGTGCCTGGCTGTCTCTGTTGGTAGAGTGTGCTTGATCTCAGGGTCATGGGTTAAAGTCCTGCATTGACCTAGAGCTTATGTTTAAAAAAAAAAAAAAATCAAGTAACAATCACTTGTTTGCTTTTTTAAAATTTAGGAGTTTCTGTAGAGGTAAAAGAGATGGTTGAGGTTTCCTTTCTCTCTTTCTCTTTTTTTTTTCTTCTTTTTTTAAGATTTTATTTATTCACTGGACAGAGAGAAATCACAAGTAGGCAGAGAGGCAGGCAGAGAGAGAGAGAGGGGAGGAAACAGGCTCCCTGCGGAGCAGAGAGCCCGATGCAGGGCTCGATCCCAGGACCCTGGGATCATGACCTGAACTGAAGGCAGAGGCTTTAACCCACTGAGCCACCCAGGTGCTTCTCCCTCTTTCTCTTAAAAACTTTACTGAGGTTTTTAAAAAATAAATAATGCAAAAACAAATCATATAATACCAAAATGTTTATAATGAAAATCCACCCTCATCTGCCCCATTCTCCTACAATAACCACTGACATCAACTTCATATGTATTCCTTGAGCCTTGCTCCCCCACTTGCATCGTCCTTTGAATGTGGAAGTGGACCCGAGTGTACAATGATAGGATATTTGGGATCTGCTTCAGATAATCCACAGGTGGAAGAAGAAAGTGAATGGGATGGAAAAAAATGACCAAGAGTTGACATTGTTGCAACAAGGTGATGGGACTATAGGGATTCATTGCTCTATTGCCTGCTCTTCACTTTTTACGAAAGTGACAATTTCTACAATAAGAACTTAAATGCTGTTTTTTAACTGCTTAGAAAATGGACTCATGCTTTATGTAATATTCAACTTTTTTCTTGAACTAACAGCTTCTTGTGGACCTCGTTCCAAATCTGTACAACACAGATCAGCCCTGTCCCTTCTAATGCCTTTCTATTGTATGGATATCCCATCATTTACCCAACCTCTCTTCCCCTGATGGATTATTCTCGCTGTTGTGCCATCACAAATAATGCCAAGTAAACCTGCTTGGGCATACATCTCGTCCCTCTCGAAAGCAGCTTTCTGTATGATCAATTCCAAGAGGTATAATTTCTGGGTCAAAGGGCAAATATGTTTCAAGTTTAACTGATATTACCAAATTATTCTTCAAAAACGTTATTGCAAGTTTCAGCTCCAACTATGTACCCCTTTTCATCTGCATCCTCCCAAACACTGAGTTCTAGCAATCTGGTTAATCTTTGCCAATTTCAAAAGGGAGACTATATCTCATTTTCTGTTGACGTGTGTTGTTCTGATTGTTGCTGAGGTTGCGCATCTGTTCATGCTTTCTCTGCCACGTATTTCTTCCTCAGCACATTGTCTATTCATTGCCCTTGTTTGTCCACCTTATTTCTCTTTCTTACTGATGTGTAGCAGCTCTTTATATATTATCGATGTTAACCTTTTGTCTATTATGTATGCTTAAAACATTTTCTTCCGTTCTTTAATTTTTTGTCTGTGGTATTTTTCCTCATACAGAAGTTGTTGTAGGTTTGTTCATATAGTCAGAACTATCATTCTTTCCCTGCTGTCTTCTGGGTTTTGTGTCATGCTCAAAGAGTCCCTTTATTTTCTTCTAGTACTTTCATAGTTTTACTTTTTATTTTTAGATCTTTAGTTCACTTGAGATTTATATGGGGCATGGTGTCAGATAGAGAATTAAATTTAAAATTCCTTGAAATTCACAACCCATTCCCAGTACTATTTAATAATCTATCCTGTTCTCACTGATGTCAAATGCTATCTTTGTCATATACTTAATGCCCATATATATGCCAATTTTTTCTAGACTCTGTTGTACTCCCCTGATTCAACTGCCTAATCCTATACCTGTACCATGCTGCTTTAATTACTGTTGCTTTGTAATACCTCTGATAGTGAGTAGGCAATACTACAACCTGATATTTCAAAATTTTATCAGCCATTCTCATGCATTCATCCCTCCAGATGAACTTTATTATCATGTTGTGAAGTTAAAAATAAAAACTGCCATGGGATCTGATTAGAATTGCCTTGACTATATATATTAAGTTGGGAAGGATGGTCCAAGACTCTGTGTGAAAGGGCAAGACAAAAATTATGCATGGAATTTTCACATACCCAGGATGCCATAGCCAGGATCCAGCACAGTCAGGATCAATTCTGGAATGATGCTGCCCCACACACCATGTCACCCTTTGCTCAGGCTGCTCTATAATCAACTCCTGCTTTTTCTTCCTTTTGGGCTCCAACTCTGATTCCTACCTGCCTATGAGTTATGTGTTTCTCTGGCCTTTCAACCACCTCCCATTCTTCTAGCACAGCATGGGTGGTCTTCTCTCTTGACCACTCTGGAATATGCTCCCTCAATGCAGGGGAGTGGTCCCACCCACTGAAGCTGGCCAGCAGGTTCAGGACTGGATAATATCCTCAATGCCATGGGTAACAAAAGGGAACTGAAGAATCTTCTAGTTCAAACTCTCTCCTCTGATTTTATTTCCATAACACAAAGATCATAGGGAAATGACCAGGGGCTTAGACAAAGTTATAGAATAACTGGCTGGTTAGGAAAGGCATTTTGAATTTTTTTTGGCAGTAGTAACAAGCAATACCTTTCCCCAGTGTCTACCTTTCCATTCCCTGAAGAGAAGTGGAAAGGAAATATTCTAGGATGATGTTGTCCAAGAATCTACTAGTTTCAGAAAGAGGCTGCCTTCATGGTAACTGGGAAGTTTTTCCCAAGCAACCTAAAATGTCTACCATTTCTGATATTAGATTTCCATGAATGTCAGACAGGGTCAGGGCTAGAGTGAGGCAAGTGCCAAATCTGCATTTGTACAATCTTAAGGATGAG